TAGCCTTGAAAAGAGCCCAACACGCAGCGACATAAACGTTGCCATGGTCATACTGTCATGTATAGTCACCTGAAAATGGGTCTCAGTTGCTCATTTAAGGTGGAATGTTTTGTGGTATCAGACCAAGTGCACATCACAAAAAAATCAACCAAAATAGCCTGAAATTAGCGTAGTTCTGTAGGCTCACGTTTAGCCTCTAGCACTGGAGGTTCAAATGTGAAAGCATGGTTTATTTTTCAGTAATAGCTGAAGGAAATCAGAGGGTTTTGTGCTGGATGAGTAACAGAAGCTGCCTCTTCAGCTGAGCTAATGAGCTAATGCTTTGGTACAGTGTTGGCTGTGGATTTGTCCTCTACACAAGCTCTTTTCTCCTCAGTGGACGATGTGCCAACATGTTATTCTGTCTGAGAAATATATTTACACTGTTTCTGGACCTGCTGGAGTAGTTAGCCTAGTTAGCAGAATAGCGCCGCTGTCTCTGCCTCCTCAGTCACATCCAACCTTCGCGTTCAGGCAACTAGCGAAGTAGAATATACGAGAAACACTGTTTACTGAGAAATATCATCTTGATCATGATGAAGTGTAGCAAATACCCGAACAGTGATTTCAGTATTAAAACACTGGCACCCTGAACGGTTCACGAGAATAACAACACCAACAAGGACACCTTCTGGGATCGCCTCAGCACAAAAACACTCCGGGAGTTTTTAAACACTGTGTCCACTCTCTGTCCACTCTATTAGACACTCCTACCTTGTCAGTCCACCTTGTAGATGTAAAGTCAGAGACGATAGCTCATCTGCTGCTGCACAGTTTGTGTTGGTCATCCTCTAGTACTTCATCAGTGGTCACAGGACGTTGCCCACAGAACACTGTTGGCTGGATATTTTTGGTTGGTGGACTATTCTCAGTCCAGCAGTGACACTGAGGTGTTTAAAAACTCCAGCAGCACTGCTGTGTCTGATCCACTCAGACCAGCACAACACACACTAACACACCACCACCACGTCAGTGTTACTGCAGTGCTGAGAATGATCCACCACCCAAATAGTACCTGCTCTGTGAGGGTCCATGGGGGTCCTGACCACTGAAGAACAGGGTAAAAGGGGGCTAACAAAGTATGCAGAGAAACAGATGGACTACAGTCTGTAACTGTAGAACTACAAAGTGCACCTATATAGTAAGTGGAGCTGATAAAATGGACAATGAGCGTAGAAACAAGGAGGTGGTCAGAATGTTACGCCTGATTGGTGTATTTATTGCTGTTGTCAGAAGAAAACCTCCAAAATGGTGACTTTACATGCGAAGGAAAATACATACCTTACTTTTAATGTAAGTCAATGGAACCAGAATTTTTTCCAAGTCATTTTGGGCCGTTTCTTTTGGTCCATTCATCATGAAATTTACACACAATGTAAAGGACAACAGGTATTTTCAAATTATGTCAAAAACGGTTTTCTTCTGATATATGTATGATGCTACGTCCTGAAGTTACAAAAACAAACGTGTGTGTGTGTGTGTGTGTGTGTGTGTGTGTGAGTGCATGTCTATTGTAATGTGCCTCTGATCTTCCCCTCCAGTTCTCTGCAAAATCACGTCTGTATAAGCTGAAGGTGACATTGTTCTCCTCGTTTCACTTACGGCTGACATTTTCTATCTCATCTTCTCAGAGACCCGCAATCAGAATTGTTTTGCAGTGTTTATATCTAATGCTTTCATGCATTTTATATCACGAGGACCCGACTGGAAATGCCACACACTCGCTCAGCGTTAGAGAAGGATTTGCTTGTCAGCCTTATCAGTCCGCATGACCAAACAGTAAGCCAGAAATTCCTCCACTGTTGGTCCACCATGGATGAAGGAGCCCTCTGTAGTGGATCCGCAAAGAGCCGTGTAACGTTCTGCCCCTGCCACCACTGAGCCAACTCCACTTTTAAAGCGCACTTCCTTGTTGGCCTCTGACACTGACACACTGCCACTGACAAACATGGACAAACAGTATGTTGCACTGCTGAAAACAGCAGTCGTCATCTAGTCTGATGACCATTTGTCCAGTCATTTGTCGCATCGGGTCAGTTTCCTGAGGCCTAATCCTGATACTACATTTCCTTTCAAAGAAGCGTCTCCATTCAAAACACTGTGCAGTCTAGGACTACACACTTTAAAAAGATGGTTCTTCAAGGGTTCTTTAATAAAGATGGTCCTACTTAGAACTATGAGTTCTATATAAAACCATTCCATGCTTAAATGGTTCTTTGCATGGTGAAATGGTTCTTCAGATTAATGTTGTACGTGGTTCAGAAAATGGGTCTATATAGCACCAAAAAGGGTGAATGTGTTGTTGCTATACAGAACCATATACAACACATTCTCCATCTAAAGAACCATTTCTGTAAAGGAGACACACGTTATTCATGTTACATTATGTGGAGGTTCTTTAAATATTAAAAGGTTCTTCACACTACTACATCTCATTTTCAGAACAAGGTCTTCTAAGGAACCAAAAGTGGATCCTTTATTGCATTGCTAAAGGAACCTTTTGGCACCTTTTTTTAAAGTCTGCATTGAAGACAAACTTACCATGTATTGTGTTGTATGTGGTTCTATATAACACCAAAAAGGGTTCTTCTGTTGTTACAACCTTGACATTGTCACTATAGAAAATCCTTTTATGATGCTATATAGAACCATTTCAGAACCATTTCACAACATCAGTCTAAAGAACCATTTTACCATGCAGAGAACTGTTTAAGCATGAAATGGTCCAATGTAGAATCCAAGGTCGAAATAGAACCATATATTTTACTAAAGAACCCGTGAAAAACCACCTTTTTAAGAGTGTATATAACTATTCCATGCTTAAATGATTCTTTGCATGGTGAAATGGTTCTATATAGCACCAAAAAGGGTTCTGCTATTGTTACAAGCTTGACATCAAAACAAAAGAAGAACCTTTTTCGGTGCATTTACAAAAGGGTTCTATATGGGACCATACACAACACACTCTCCATCAATCTGAAGAACACTTTCACCATGCAAAGAACCATTTAAGCATGAAATGGTTCCATTTCCTTTAGAAAAGAACCATTGAAGAGCCGTCTTTGTTAAGAGTGTTTACAGAATCATTTCATGGTTAAATGATTCTTTGCATTGTGAAATGGTTCTATATAGCACCAAAAAGGGTTCTGCTACTGTTACAAGCTTGACATTGTGACAATAGAAGAACCCTTTTTGGTGTTATATAGAACCATTTTCAGAAAGGTTCTATATAGGTCCATATGAAACACGTTCTCCATCAATCTGAAAAAGCATTTCACCATGCAAAGGACCATTTAAGCATGAAATGGTTCTATGGAGAACCCATGGTTCTAACTGGAACCATTTCCTTTATTAAAAACCCTTGAAGAACCATCTTTTTTAAGCATGTAGGCTTAATCGCCATCCTGGAAAACAAACAGTACCAGAAAACACATCAAGTCGATTTGATATTACTTAACAGATTTGAAGCAAAACTAAACTAAATCGGTGCCAATCAGCTTTCATTGCTTGTTAGCTACATTAGCCTCATAGCTTTAGCTTGAAACTAAGGAAGCAAACTTCAGACACCAAACTTGTTTTGGCTCTTCAGCTACAACCAAGAGGGGCTGACACACAGTGGGCGGTCTTTACCATCCTACAAAACCTCGGCAATGCATGGAGCCCCCTGCTGGCCGCAAGTGGTCGGCCGAATAAACTATTAAACTAACTTTTATTTTTTGAGAATACTTGAGCTACTTAAGCAGGGACCGTTGAAGACCATGATCACAGGAAGTTTCACCAATTTCCTCGCAACAGCAGCAATTAAAAGTCTGAAGAGGTGAAACTAACGTCACCATACTTTCTTACAAAACGGCATTTTGGCCAGAAATGTCGACTGACCAACATGGAGGACATAATCAAGGCTTTTTCTGAAGCCCAAACCAGGATGGTTGCAGTCAGAAGAGCTAGCAAGGTGAATATTGTATTATATTTGTATTATATTGTGTATATTGTCCTCAGGGTCAGTTTGACCCAGGCTATTTAAGCCTCTATCAAAGTTCTTTTGGGAGTTATGTGCCCTTCCCTGAATGGAGTGACCTATCAGTGGCCCTCGTGCTACTACAGGTGTGGTTATGTTAGCTTAGGGCCCTAAAGTAGAGGCAAAACTCTAAAATCGCATGTTATGTTGACCTCAATATCATCCAAAACAACCTAAACTGATGTGTGTAAAAGGATATTTCTCATGTTTTATACAACTAAATCAGCAAATTGACCCCAAAGAACACCAATGTGTACAAACTGCGTACAGGACATTGAAAACTATATCAGTATCATCATGTTAATGTTATGTTTTCCTGGTTGTTCCTATAAAATTAGCAGACATCATTAAGCAAAAAAGATGTCAATCATAAATCTTGAGAGTTTAAACACTGAATGAGGTCAAACTGACCTCAAAGATCATTAAGAGGGTTGAATTAAACGCCTTTGATTGGGGCCAAAAAAATAAAGCCAAATCTGTCCTTGGATGTGCAATAACTAACACCCGGTTGGTACAAGTTCTCTAGTTCTGTAATATTTGGGGGATTTTGTTCTTCCCCTGAGCCCACCCTCCCACACACACCCCACTGGATGGGGAACGCGGGGCACCAAACACCAGACAGATCCTGTACAGATTTCTATGAGCAAAGCCTGGAATCTGCTTGTAATTCCTCCTAACAATCGGGTTAACGTCGGTTTCGCGTCGGCTTAACGTCACATTAACTCCAGGCTTATTTTCCAGGCTAATCTTAAGTCTTGTTTGTGCACAGATTCCTCAGTAACTGCTGCCAAACTACTGTGTAAGTTAGGTCGCCATGAGCGCGAGCCTACGGTTTCTTAGAGCTTGAGAGGCTAACGTCGGTTTAACGTCGGTTTAGCGTCGGCGTGGTGAAGGGGGTTTGGGTTGGTTGTGTTGTCGGGTGATAAGATGGCGATGGACCTACTTGCGTGAGTTCCGTGCCCATGAGCACGAGCAGGATGAGCGTCGGCAGCTTGCTCGCGGGCTGCATCTCGCGCCTCTCACATTCAGCTCCGCTCTCGCGCCTCTCCTCCCGCCTCGACCGCTGTGGCTCGCGTGCTCTTCTCCTCTTCCTCCTCTTCCTCCTCCTTCTTCTTCTCCTTTCTTCTTCTTCTTCTTCTTCTTCTTCCTCTCTCTCTTTTTCTCTCTCTCTCTTTCTCTTTTTCTCTCTTTCAGCAGCGGAATGACGGGGTAAGCGGCGAAACGGGTCTCGCGCGGTCCTCTCCGGGCATTATTTTAGCTCATCTCGCGCTCCCGGTGCTTCGGCTGGTTCTGTATGTGTGTCTCGCGCTCCACTACCGGCTCTCGCGCTCTCCGCTCAGCATCAGTTTCAGAAACGAAACGCGGGTGGTGGTGGTGGTGGAGGGGGAGCTACCGGTACCGCGCGCAAGTTTGGCTCACCGTTTTGGTTAAGAGCAGGGAAACGGGAGCGCGAGAGAGGAGCTGCGAGGCGGTCTGAAACCGGATGTGACACCCAGAGCGCGTGGGAAATTCAAGTAGGGCAAATCGGGAATGGTGGGGGGGGGAGAGGGAGAGAGAGAGAGACAGAAAGAGGAAAGAGAGAGAGAGAGCAAGAGACAGACAGAGAGAGAGAGAGAGAGAGAGAGAGAGAGAGACTAGAAAGAGAAAAGAGAGAGAAGAGAAAGAAAGAGAGAAGAGAGAGACAGATAGAAAGAGAAAACAGTGGGAAAGAAGGGAGAGAGAAAAAGAAAGAGAAAGACGGGAGAGAGAGTGAGAAAAAGGGAAAAGAGAGAGAGAGAGAGACAAAGAGAGACAGAAAGAAAAGTCAGAGTGAGAAAGAAAAAAAAGAGAAAGAGGGAAAGAGAGATACAGAGACAAGATAGTAGAAAGAAAAGTAGAGAGAGAGAAAGAAAAAGAGGAAAGAGACAGAAAAAATAGAGAGAGAGAGAGAAAGAGAGAGAGAGGGAGAGAGAGAGAGAGAGAAAGAGTGAGAGAGAGGGCGAGAGAGGGAGAGAGATCGAGCCCTTGGGCCTCCAAACGAGTCAAAACAATCCAGTTGAATTTGGGTTAACATTCAGCTGCATGAGGCGTTTCAGTTTCCATGACGACAAATATAATAAAATAAAACGGAAGTACACTCTTAAAAAAGATGGGTCTTCAAAGGTTCTTTATTAAAGGGAAGAGCTCTATATAGAACCATTTGCATGGTAAAATGGTTCTTCAGATTGAGGGATGATGTGTTGTATATGGTTCTATATAGCACCAAAAAGGCTTCTTCTATTGATTAAAGCTTAACATCATAACAATAGAAGAACCTTTGTGGTGCTATAGAACCATATACAATACATTCTCCCTCAATCTGAAGCATTTTACTATGCAAAGAACCATTTAAGCATGCAAATTGTTCTATATAGAACTCATGGTTCTACATAGAGCCACTCCCTTTACTGAAGAACCCTTGAAGAACCATCATATTAAGTGTACAGAACTGATGATGAAAATCCTTCCAAACCTGCAACCAGAAGAGCTGGTAGGAATTTTGGGCTCCCTGAAAAATTCATGCACCTCGTTTCCCTTAACAGAACCTGTCAACATTAAAATGCACCAACATGTTGATATCCCACTAGCAAGCAGCAACATACGTATAAACATCACTGCATATCTGTACTGAACTGGCTGAAACCTTCCGTTGTGGAAAAATACAGATATTCTGGTTGTAGTTTGTGCTTTACTCAGACTAAAAGATGCTGGAGAGGGTCCTTAACATTCATAGCAGACCTTCTACTTCACCTTCACTTTCAGGTTATACCTTTATCTTTCAGTGGTCGAGAGAACGTGACAAAAGAGGGTTTGTTGTACTATTGATTTATGAGGGAAAACTCAAAAACGGTGTAGAGTAGTAATAGAACATGAGATTACAGTCGTAACTGCAGCATAAGCTTCCATTTTATTAGCAGCATGACGGCAGAGGAGGTCTTCATAACCCACCTTTAACTCCCAAGCACGAAGACTGCTGTCTTCCCTGTTTAGCCGTTCTTCTTTTGTTGATTTTTTTCAAGCATTTTCAAAATCTTGATCTCTTTCTTCATTTGAGTTAAAGATGAAACCCTGTTTCTTCAATTGAATTAAAAACAGAAGCCTCTTTTTTCATTTGAGTTAAAGACAAAATCCTCTTTCCTCATTTGAGCTTAAGATGAAACCTGTTTCTTCATTTGAGTTAAAGACAAAATCCTCTTTCTTATTCATCTGCGTTAAAGACAAAACCCTCTTCATTTGGATTAAAAACAGAAGCCTCTTTCCTCATTTGAGTTAAAGATGAAACCTGTTTCTTCATTTGAGTTAAAGACAAAATCCTCTTTCTTCACCTGAGTTAAAGACAAAACCCTGTTTCTTCATTTAAATTAAAGATGAAACATTCCTTTTTCATTTGAGTTGAACACCAAACCATCTTTTCTCATTTGAGCTTAAGATGAAACCCTGTTTCTTCATTCGAGTTAGACTACACCCTTTTTATTCATCTGAGTTAAAGATGAAATCCTCTTTCTTCATTTGAGCTAAAAATAAAACCCTCTTTCTTCATTTGAGTTAAAGATGAAACCCTCTTTCTTCATTTGAGCTAAATATAAAACCCTCTTTCTTCATTTGAGTTAAAGATGAAACCCTCTTTCTTCATTTGAGTTAAAGATGAAACCCTCTTTCTTCATTTGAGCTAAATATAAAACCCTCTTTCTTCATTTGAGTTAAAGATGAAACCCTCTTTCTTCATTTGAGCTAAATATAAAACCCTCTTTCTTCATTTGAGTTAAAGATGAAACCCTCTTTCTTCATTTGAGCTAAATATAAAAACCCTCTTTCTTCATTTGAGTTAAAGATGAAACCCTCTTTCTTCATTTGAGTTAAAGATGAAATCCTCTTTCTTCATTTGAGCTAAAAATAAAACCATCTTTCCTCATTTGAGCTTAAGATGAAACCCTGTTTCTTCATTTGAGTTAAAGACAAAATCCTCTTTCTTATTCATCTGCGTTAAAGACAAAACCCTCTTCATTTGAATTAAAAACAGAAGCCTCTTTCCTCATTTGAGTTAAAGATGAAACCCTCTTTCTTCATTTGAGTTAAAGATGAAACCCTCTTTCTTCATTTGAGCTAAATATAAAACCCTCTTTCTTCATTTGAGCTAAAAATAAAACCCTCTTTCTTCATTTGAGTTAAAGATGAAACCCTCTTTCTTCATTTGAGTTAAAGATGAAACCCTCTTTCTTCATTTGAGCTAAATATAAAACCCTCTTTCTTCATCTGAGTTAAAGATGAAACCCTCTTTCTTCATTTGAGTTAAAGATGAAATCCTCTTTCTTCATTTGAGCTAAAAATAAAACCCTCTTTCTTCATTTGAGTTAAAGACGAAACCCTCTTTCTTCATTTGAGTTAAAGACGAAACCCTCTTTCTTCATTTGAGTTAAAGATGAAACCCTCTTTCTTCATTTGAATTAAAGACAAAACCTGTTTCTTCATTTGAGTTAAAGACGAAACCCTCTTTCCTCATTTGAGTTAAAGACAAAACCCTGAAAGTGAGTCTCCTGAAAAGAATAGAAGCTGTAGTAAAGGAAAATAGTGACACAAAACACTAAAACAGCTGATATCATATTTAGTTGTCAAGGCTGTGGTGTCATTTTCTGCCTCATCTGTGTTTTCTGCTCTTTTCCTGATGAAACGTTTAGCTTGTACTTTTTACTGGAAACTGCATCTGCAGCAAAATTAGTTTTATATTATTGAAAACAGTGATTCCAAACTTTGGAGCGGTGTATAGGAGTGTAGTGCATGTGTACGTACATGAATCCAAAGCGTGAAGTAGTCCAGATCAGCCTATAAGAATATTTTTAGCAGGAAAACCATGTCAGCTCCACGGTGGATTAACTTAGCGCCAATTACTAAAGTGAAGAGAAGTCAATCTGCTGGCCTAGAAATCTTTTCCAACAGCCTTTGGCTTTTAGGAATGTTTTAGTGCAACATTAGAGTGACTGAATGTTTCATACAACACGAGACATTCGGCCCAGTTTTTCCTCCCATTATATACAGAGCAGCTTCAGCAGCAGCCGCTGTCCATGATGCTGAAACTGACCATCATCACAGCCCCATTAACCCTCTTCAGTTATTTGGCTTTGCAAGCTGTGGAGGGTAATGTGACTCTCCCTTTGTTCAGTTCCATCTAACCTCTTAAAAATATGGTTCTTCAAGGGTTCTTTATTGTTCTATTTAGAACTATGAGTTCTATATAAAACCATTTGCATGCTGTATTGGTTTTTGCATGGTAAAAAAATGGTTCTTCAGATTGACGGATCCTTTTTGGCGCTATAAAGAACCATTTTCCAAAAGGTTCTGGGTATAACCCACTCAACATATTCTCCATCAATCTGAAGAACCATTTCTCCATTAAGCATGAGCTGGGTCTTTATAAGACTCATGGTTCTAAACAGAACTATTCCTTTTACTAAAGAACCCTTGAAGAACCATCTTTTTCAAGCATGCATATAAAACCATTTTGTGCTTAAACGAATAAACTTAAATTCTTCGCGGGGTGAAATGGTTCCATATAGCACAAAACGTTATGATGTTAAGCTTGTAAAAGTAGAAGAACCCTTTTTGTTGTTATATAGAACCATTTTCAAAAAGGTTCTATATAAAATCACTTACATCCATCAATCTGAAAAACAAGTTCACCATGCAAAGAACCATTTAAGCATGAAATGGTTCTAAATAGAACTCATGGTTCTAAATAGAACAAATCTCCTCACTAAAGAACCCTTAAAGAACCATCCTTTTTAAGAATGTAGATATTCTGCTTATAAGAACTTTCTTACAGTGCTCGTTGCTTTGATCCATGAAATTAAAAAAATAGATTCATTCCTGTGAAGTACACTCTTAGGTTCTTCAAGGACTCTTAAGGAAAGAGAATGGTTCTGTTTAGAACCATGAGTTCTATATAGAACCATTTCATACTTCCTTGCATGGTGCAATAGCTCTTTAGATTGATGGAGAATGTGTTCTATCTTGTGTGAATCTTGTAACAATAGCAGAACCATTTGGTGCTATGCAGAGCCATATACAACATATTCTCAATTAATTAAGAATCGATTAAGAATCAATTAAGCATGAAAATGGTTCTATTTAGAACTCATGGTTCTAAATAGAACCAAACTAAAGACATCTCGTGTGTGGCTGACCCCAACGTCATCGCTGTGAAAGGCGAGTCACTGATACAAATGGGTTGTTTGTGTCGCTGCACTGAGTTTCTCTGAGCAGCACTACAGCAGAAAGCTTGCATGTCAGAAAAGCTTGCATGCAAAAACTGCACACTGTGGCCTTTATCAGATAAGCAGTGACCTTCTTTTTGTCTTACAGCCACTCTCCACATCGTCTGCAGTAGCCTTCAGTGGGCATGGGTGACATGTAGTGCTGGATTTTGGGGGGAAGTGAAGGGGTGTCATCATAAAATATGACAAAAACATCCCCCTTTTCCATCGCCTTAGGATTAACATGATGTTGCATAATGATCTCTATT